TGAGGCAAAACGTGGGCCGAGGCTTGTTCAGCTGGACTCGGTGATCTTAAAGGTCTTTTCCAACCTCAGCGGCTCCGTGATTCTGCTGCAGGCCGTTCAGATCGGCCGTGTGTGGCTGGTGGCTGGAGGACAGCTTCTGAAAGGCCAGCTGTGTCAGCAGGCCAGGTGAGAAGGGGATCTCGTACCGCTTGCCAGCCCAAGTTAACTTTTTGCAATCGAATAAATGGGCGTCTTGATCACATTTACTTTAGAACAAATTTTACCACAGTTCTGTAGTAAATTGAATTTTATTTTAAATAATGTCAACTATTCAAATAAAATGTCAAGCACCCGTCATGAGCATTAATAGTCTTTGTTGCACCTGAATACAAAAGTGAACCCATTTTGGTTCTGTATATACTCAATTGTACGTGGCCAGGCTCTCTTAATCTCTAAGACTGCTGTAACAACAAACACTTTCACATACACTCCTCAAGTTGAAATGAAAACCATTCATATCAGGTGCTAGTGCAATATCAAACAGCAGGAAGAGGATGACACTTTTAAAATGCTCATTTAGCACATTTTCATACAAGAATTAAAGCAGCATCTAGGTAATAACCTCAAGAGGGGAGAGAAAAAACATTGCTGTTTTTGACAACAGCTTTGGTAGTTCCTGTTGCATACTGAGAGCCCAGTTTTGGTATCTCCTGGGCATGCAGCACTGCAGGCATGTCTGTAGTCCTGTTATTGCCAAGGATAGATAGATTTTCACAGCCAGGGCTGCTTTATTTTTTATTATTTTAGTCAAGTCTCACATTCAGTAGGGAAAAATAAAATTCTGACAGACTGATAGTGAAATCTTACATTTAACAAGGTATATTGGCTGGATGGCTGCAGTTTAAAAAAGTTTATCAGACCTACCTTGGAAAACTACTTTGTTGTTGTTTTGTTTATTTGTTGTTTCTCAGTGTTTCAGGCCATTCCTCCAGGGAGCTAATAGTTCCTGCTCTGGGAAGTCACACTGGGGCTCAGATCTGCCAGGCAGATTTGCCTTTCCCACAGTAGACTGGACGGGATTCACAGGTGGCTCAAATTTGGTAGCTGACTTCACGCTCATCTCCTTTGCTCATGGAAATTTTTGGTCACTCATCTGTCTTCTTACAACTAACTCCGAGAATACCAAGGTTAGGACATGGTACTATTGTTTGCGTGAATGGTTCTTCCTCGTGTGTTGCTTTAGAAACTGCCGGCTTGGGTAAGAGACTGAAAATGCCCATGAATGTGCTTTGCTAAGCTGCTCTTTAAAAAACCTGAAAGTGCGATCAACCAGTACTCGTGTACCAAATGTCAGAGTACGTGGAGGGGAACTTTTCCTTGCTAGCACTGTGTTGCTGGCTGGGCATCTCATTTTCCTGTGACCTGTGCACACATCCTATAGCCCGACCTTTTCCGTGGCTCCAAATGAAGTTGTGAAACTCCTCAGCAGCTCCCGATAGCCCTGTTTTCTGTATCTTTGCTGAGAAAGTGCTGGGGAAACTACTATAAGTGTTTACATCCGTTTATGTTTCAGAAGGTACAAGGACTACCCAACTGCCATGTGTTCTCCTCGCCTTACATGTGGGAAGGTCTCTCTGGCCCCAGGAGGTGGAGGAAGACTTTCTAAGAGTTGCTTGTTTTAAAGGGGAGGGCGGTTTAACACCTGCTCTTCCCTCCATGGGTTTTGACAACACGCTGGGTGTCCCACTGCTTTATAGCTCTCTGGTGTCTGAGTCATCATGGCTCTGCGCTGTGCACAAAGTACTGCTGATACTCGGAGTCTTGCTTCTGGAAGCCTCATTTCTCTGGGGGAGGAAAGCTTCCGAAAAGGGGGCTGGGAGACCCAATTTCAGGTGTGACTTGCTGCTGGCCTCTAACCTGGACACAGGAACCGTCTTGAGAGCCAGACCCTGGAGGGACTCTGCTCTCTGCTCCAGACTAATCCAGTTGTAACTGCAAGATAGAGACTAACCAGGGCTAAAAAAAACCCCAAAAGTCAGGGCACTGATGTAGGACTTACTTTCTTCTTCTATTAAAGCATCCTGCCCTTGCGCTTCTGTTCCCCAGGGCTATGCTGTGTGACATTCCTGGGAGCATTTGCACCAAATATGCAACCCAGATAACTGAGTGTCATTGCGATTACTGCACTGCTGCTTGGCCAAACCTTGGCTCCTCGGGTGGCTGTAGAAGCAGGCAGTAAAATTCACAGCTGGTCAGACAGCAGTGTTCCCTTACCCTTGGCATTTCTGACTACTGAGCAGGCTTTGACTAAGCTACTACAGGCATTACTGAGGAGACACAGAGATGGGCTGTGACAGCCCTAATTTTGGAGCGGGAGCGCTCGCACAGCATGTTGTCTGCTGAGTGTGTTTCAAGGTCAGTTGTGGCTTTGCCAGGTGGACTTTGTTTCATGGTTCAGATGCGATGCATGCAGCAGCAGAGCTTTTGCAGGGCTCCAGCTAATGATTCTGTATTTCTTGATTCACGTACCAGCTTCACGTAACAGCACTGTTACCAGCTTCTGAAATCCCACTGCCTCTAACCAGACCCGCTTTTGATGTGGAAAATCAGTTCTGTCCATGCCAACCGTGAGCACTCTGCAGCTGTGCCACAGTGCAGAGACCAGACGTCGTTTGCGGCGGGCAAGCTGTTGGCCTCGCGCTGTTGGCAGCAGTGTGAAACCCATACGCTTACCAACATGCTAGGTGGGCCTTTGGTGCAAAGTTCCTGCTAAACCACTTGTTACCCAGGGCTTGAGCCTCCTCTTTCAGGAGCTCTGGAGTTCCCAAGCAAAGGTGACAAGCCTTCCTTCTTCTGAAAGCGACAGCACTTCTTGTCCTGCCTTGGCTTCTGTTTACTTACGGCCTGTTTACCTTAGCATACTTAACAGGCAGTGGCTCCTCTTCCCTGGCTTCTGTTTGCAAACACTTCTCCGGATAGCTTTTGAGCATTTCTGTTCAGACCTGTGCCTGGCTTCTTTCTTCTTTCCCTCTCATTTTCTTGGCAACAGAATTGCCTTCAACATGTGAGAATCTGCTGTGAATACTGTGGACAGGACTGCCTGCTGCTTGGTGAGATGCTTAAAGGTTGCTCAACTATTATTCTTAAGAATGTGGCTTACTGGTATTACAGAAATACGAAAGCTTGCGGTGCCAAGTAGTCATCTCTCATTTACTGGGAATTCTCTCCATCGTTATCTAAAGTACACACAAATCACAAACATCAAACCAAAGCTATCCCCTACCCACCCACACTCTGCAGCACCAAGCATGGCGAAACACTGGGTGTTTCCATAGCTGTTCTTGTGGATCTGTAAGCAAAGAAGTTCTAAACTGGAAGAGGTGTTTGCAGGGACATATCAGTGCCAGGAGAGACTAAATAGAGCTGAAGCTGGGCTCGCATTGTTTGGATACACTTCGACTTCAGCACCAAGATTTCATCCAGCTTGGTCACGAAATTCTGAAAATCCTGGTGAGGAAAGCAAAAGGAGAATTTAGGGAACAACAGCAGCAGCAGGTTGGAGAAAATCAGCGTATTTCAGGTGCTGCAGCAGTACATAAAAGCATGTTTTCCATTCTGCAGTGTAGTAGGTTAAATCAGCATTTCCTCACTAAAGTCTTGACCCTCACAGACAAAGGTCAATGCCTCTAAATACGGTACTTTTGTCTGTTGGTGAAATTACAGCTAATGCAAGTGCTGAAAAATAAAAATGTATAAAGCACCTGTTATCACCCGTCTACACCAGTTGGCTTCTCAAAGATTTGGTATAGGGACTGGTCACCTGATGTGCAGTTTTATAGTGTGCTGAGCTCTGTTCCTGACACCTCTTGTGCTGGATCTTGCAGTCGTGAAAATAAATGGTGAGTTGGGCCACTCACTGATCAGACATAATAGCCTGTTCTTGGGAGAGGGAAGGGGTTATTTCACGTCAGGTCACAGGGCCAGTCCAACTCCTGGCTACACGTCTGCTAGATCTGATGTGACAGACAGCAGCCATGTGTATAGGCTCGGCTGAGGGGAGCGCTGCCTTCCATAGCAACCCGCCACACGGATAAAAAGTGATACGGAACTGTGATTAAAACTCAAATGGAGGCACTTATTTTTAAGTAGGGCTCGTATTAATGAGGCAGCACTCACACTTGCTCTGCTCCCCAGCTCAGAGCAGTTTGGTGCCTCTGTTGATGGGTCAGTATCTAAGCAGCTGGGAGGTGTCAGCATCCTCAGGGCTAGGGACTTCAGCTGCCACTGCGTGAAAATCTGTCATTCAAAAGCTTATTTGGCGGGACTCCAGCTATCTCGTGGACTGATCTTTGTCTTGCAGGGACATCAGGACTGTAATGAAGACCAGCCCAGCTGCCGCGGCATATTTTTCTTACGCATTTTAAATACTGCTTAGTTCAGTATGTGGCTGGTCTTGGCAGGAGTCTCTCCTGCAGCCAAAGTTTCGTGGCTGGAGAAGTTGCAACCATCCGAAAGTGCAAGGAGAGAAACTGATACGGGAAGTCCAGCCTGAGTGCATTGCCCAAAGAAAGGTCATGCTGTGAAATAACGCTACTGGATATAGGTTATTCACACACTGCTGGGAGGCCTGGCAAGCTTGTCATAGTTCTGCTAGCCAGAAATGATTGCTTGCTCTGCAAGGGGCAAGTAAATGGTGGGGGGAGGGCTGGTGTCCAATGACCAGCAGACTGAGGAAGAACAGAAAAGGTTTTAAAAACATTACCAAAAAAAAAAAAAAAAGATTGTTTTGTATCACTGCATTCTCTGCCACAAAGCTCATACAGTTTATGGCTCTTGTGCTGCTTTGTGAACTTCTATCTGGTAACACATCACATGCAGCTGGAAATCACAGCAAGTAAACCACATGGTGGCTCCATTCTGAAATCCCTGAGGCAAGAGTCCCTGTAGCTGTGCTTCAGATCTGAACTGTGATAGGAACTGAAATGGTTTGAAAACCTAATGCAGTAATGGAGCTTGGCTTTATTGATGAAGGAACTGGGAAGGCAGGAGGTTTTTACTGGGAAACGTTAATACTCTCCGTGAGAGACAAGACTTCTCACGCAGCTATGACATGCATTTAGCTGGATGCAGGAGAAAGAGAGAACTGGGAGTGCCTGGCTAGCAGTGGGGCCATGCAGGTGCCAGTCTTTAGGTCTAGCCTTCGCTGCTGTCCTGTGAGACAAGGATAAGCCAGGAAACACTTGAGTGGCAAAAGTCAAGAGCCTGTGAGGGCACAAGTCACAGTAGCTGGAGCACTGGCGTGAGTGGGGCCAGGGGTGGGCACACCTGCAGTGTGGTGGGCAAGGGACACCCAGAAGGAAGAGGCAGTGTTGCGCTACACCACCAACTGCAACATCGCAGTGTCATGCTTTAGAGCTGTGCTGTTTTCTGTGGTATTGACTTACTTGCCTCAGCTTGTAAGGAGAAAAACGTCACATGGAAAGACACCCTGTTTGGTACAGTCTGGTACCCATAATGCAAGGTAAGAGAAAGCTGTTTTATCAGAGACAAGCGGACATCAGTCTCCTTCTCACCCAAGGACCCGGCAGCGTGGAGACTGGCAAAGACACAACAGGTACTGAAAATGAGCGGCCTTTTCTAGGACTCGGAGAGGTATCAGAGACCGAGAGGAAGAAGTGATGCGGATTGTCACTAATTCAGGTTAATAATCTCTAAGGTTAATTTATGCAGGTTCAATGGGCACTGAAATCATCATCTGAAACACTTACCGTTGCTGATATCTGACTTATCAAGCACTCTTCCTTGAGGCACAAGGATGCCATTTCATCCAGCTGCTGCCGATGGGCCTGAATTACAGCCTGCCTGATGAACATAAAACATACCACGGGTTACACAGCCTGCGGCGCTACCGGTAGTTACTGTTGGCCTCAGCTGACCTTGAAGAAGGAGGAATACCCCAGAGGAAGCCTTGCTGTCCTGTGACCCTGGCATTCAGAAAGTGCACACCGGTGCTCCTTGAAGTGCAGTGGACTGCACGGGTTTGGGGTTAAAGATGACCTTGATGACTGAGGGTTGCTCAGAGAGGAGTGACCACAGCCTCTTGTTAGCACAGGGGCACATATAAAAAAGGGAAATCTAGGAGCAAAGAAATTAATTGGCAAAACGGCTTGCAACCATGAGGCTGTAAGTCATTTTGGTGAAAAACAGGCAGAGTGGGAAAACAGTGCTGCTGTTCATTCCTCTGAGCAAGTTTCTCTGACCAGCAATGTATTTTCAGTCACGTGTACGCAGCCCAGTCTGTAGGTGCTGACAATGGCAGCTCAGTATATTTTGGAAGTTTTACGTGTACATTTTCGGTGACTGCCTAGCTGCTCTAGCTGTTTTTCTTTCCATAGGGATGGAACAGCTATCACCTGATTCTTGATGGGAGGTTTTGGTATATTTTAGGTACTTTACAGCTTAAGGGAAGCCAATTAGTTACTCAGAACTGCAGTTTGTATTATAATATTCCTCTAGCATTATCCTAGGAAGCTCTAATAGAATAATTGGCTTCCTGTGAGATTTTAAAATATCACTAAATAACAAGCAATCATATATTTATAAGATAATGACTGTAAATTATCATTAATCTTATTAAATAATTATTTCATAGATTGATTTCCAATAGTTTTTAAAAGTACATGTAAGTATGATATAAAAAGGCAAAGATCTACAAATACGTCATGAAGCTTAGAACTTCTAGACAAACTTCAGTGATGAGCAAGACTTACTGTGCCTTTTCTAGGACTTCGCTCTGCCATTTTCCCATCTCTGATGTAGCACTTGGAGAGCTGTTGCTGGGCATGCCTGAGGGACTCTTTGCATTTGCTAATGGCTTATTATCTTTGGTTGCAAATCCTGAATCTGCAGCGAAAGTCTCTTGTGTAAAAATACTCTGCATTAACTTGTTTTTTAGCACCGCTATTTCCTCATTGCTGAATGTAGACTTGGCTGAGTCTTCAGAATGGCTGAAGTCCTCATTCCTCAGTCCTGACTTGGGCTGCGACAACAGTCTGCTTTCTTGAGAGGAGGACTGGACTGTGTAATCTGTATGTCTCACGCTGGGAAAGCACGATGCACCTGAAAAATAACTCTTTCCAGGTATATCAGCATTTATTTCCTGAGCCATAGGCTCAACACTGGGTCCTTGATTTGAGTTAGATTTTCCTGAATTACCTGTATTATCTTTAACGTCAGCATCACACTGTCTGCCCCCTGAGTATTCTTTGCACGTGGACTTACTGAGAAACAAACCACCCTCTTTCTCTCCCCTGGAACCCGCCGATTCAGCTGCGGATGTTTCCGTCAGGTCACATCCAACAAATAAACTGGGAACGACTCCTTGCTTAGATGAACCCGAGCCCGGAAGGCAGCAGCACGCCTTCACATCACAGCAGGTGGGTGAAAGCCGCTTGTGCCCTGTTTGTGGGGAACGCAGCAGGGCACAGTGTCTTCCGCCACGACACATTTGCTCCCCCAGTTCCAGCATGCTGTCCGTCAGAGCTCTGCTCCTCGTACACTGCCAGCCCTCTTCCTCAATCCTGTTCTGGGAGCCAGGGGCGTTCCTGTCTGACGTCTGCTTCATACAGGGGGACTTCTCTTGGTTAGAAGGCACTTTCTCTGTATCAGTTGTTCCCTTGTAGTCAAGAAGGGGTAACATGAGAGGCGCCATTAGCTCAGAAGTGAATTCTGAGGAACAACTGGAAGATCCACAATGGTTAAATCCGGTTTTTTGAGCTTTCCATTTTACCTCTCCTGCACAGGCAGCCTGCCTATCCAAAGTGGATTCTTCCTTCTCTTCGTGCTGGAGGTCCATCTCTTTGCAGTCTGGAGTTCCCAGTTTCAGTATAGGAGAAACATAGAAGTTTGAAGCATCCTTTTCGGGAGTTAAGGTGGCTTCACTGGAGGAAATGAGACATCTGTGTTTGGGTTTGTACAGTTTGTGATCAGCTAGGAAATCTTTGCCATTTTTCCAGTTACAAGCAGGATCTTCCTGCAGGCAGTAAGGTTTTTCTGCAGTATTGCTTGGAGAGGACTCAATAGTTAAGTTATAGCTCCAGTCTGATGGAGTTTTGCTGCAGCCTGCATTTTTAATGGATTCCTCAGTCTTTGGGCTGCCCTCACTACAGTCCCAGCTGTCATCTAGTTCATGTTCTTGCATGGGTATTGCGTATTTAAAAAATAAATCCTGTCGCTTTTGACATTTTTGTTCTTCTTCAGTTCCTTGTTCTCTTTGATGAAGGAAGAATGAATGCTGGCTGCATTTGTTGGTGTTTCTTCTTTTCATGCTCTTTTGACTACAGACAGGTGAGAAAGAATCTTCACTGAAATCACTGTCATCCAGGTCTTCCAGCAGCATCGCCTCTTTACTCTGTGCTTCTGTGGGAGAAGGGCTCAGCTCCTGCTTCGCTTGAATCTCCTGAGGCTTGTATTGTGTTAAAAACCTCTCAAGAGGTTGATAGTTAAATTTTTGCTGTAGAATAGGTGGCTGCTGAAACTGCTGGTGATAAAGACGTAAATGTTCTTCCCTTTCCTTCTGAAATGGAGGCAGGTTTGTCCAGGTTTCAACACATTGCTTAGTGAAGGTGTTTCCCCATTCCTGTCTGCTGTCGGAAGGCAGATTTCCATCTCTAAAGGAAAAATCATCTCTAGAAACAAGCTGTTTCTGAACAGGTTGCACTGTCTGGACTTTCAGGCACTGGACAGGTGGTCTGTCTTGCAGATGCTTGTCTCTCTGGCCGCTCTCTTTTGTTTCTGCTGTGGCAGCGTTTTTGATGGTGAAATCCTTCTCAGTGGGGTTGCTCTCTTTTGTTTCTGCTGTGGCAGTGTTTTTGATGGTGAAATCCTTCTCAGTGGGGTTCTTTTCAGAGTGGGTGGAGAAATCATCAGTTTTCTTCTTCAGGGGATGTGCTGTCCGTAGGACTCCCTTAACTGGGTTGCTGTGGTGGAACCACGGTGAGCTGGGATTTCCTTTGTAGGCATGTCCTTTGTTGATTCCCCTGGGTGCAGAGGTAAAAGGGACAGGCTGGAGTGGCTGGAGTGCTGCAGGACATGCCTTTGTTTTTGTAGCATTTGAGGGATGCTGGAGGCCTAGCTTCACTTTCTTTGGGGAGCTCTTTTCCCCAGGTGGCAAAGAGGGAGAGCTTTGGACACGTTTTGGAGATACGTTTCCAGCTGTGCGACGCCTGTTTGTGACAGGGGTAGAACATTTAATCCCTTTCTTCAGCTCTTTGACCCTGTAAATGAGGTTGGCTTTAGAAGATGTCATGCGTTCAGATAAGTAACAGTGTCTTCAGAACAAACCAATGCTTTCACATATTAAGGCTAAACACTGAATTCAGTGTCATGATTTCTGTTTTAACTGTCAGTGATCCACACAGGCATCAAAACCCCTCTGCCAAAATGCCTGAACTTCTGGAAAGACCTTTCCTGTAGCAGTACTGTGAAGTGCCTCCTTGAGCAGTGCACAGCAGCTCAGATGAGTGAAGGTGGCCTCTGCTTCAGTGGAAGGGAGTTGCATTTCCACACTTGATAATGCAGCATGGCACAGTGCCAGCCCAAGACAAGCTGGTACTCTCCACAGCACATCGCAGAGTGCCACAAGACACAAACTAGGGCTTTTGGAGTAGTTGCAGTGGGGCTAATTACCTCAGGTGATATGTGTACAGGGCTACGGTGCTCCTGATCAGACTCATCCGCGCGACTGTGAAGAGCTGCCTGACTCGTATCGCCCTGTCCCTGCAACTGTTTCCTTTACGTCTCTTCCCCTTAAGCATCTCTTGTCCTCCTAACCCCAGCATTGCACAGCCTGTAATTCACCTCCCCTTGCGTAGGAGGGAGGGTGAAGGACTTGCACACATTCTAGGCAGAACTACAGTACAAACTAAAGCAAAACTTTCGATTGCTGAGGTTAATAATCCTGCAGTTATGCTGTGCAGGGGGCACAGTGATATTTTCATCACTAAAAGCTGTCATCAGAAAGGATTTACAAGACCCAGAGAATTTTAAAACCACATATAGTAGTTGGAACAGGTAAGGATTTTATTTGCATTGTGAAAATCGCATTTCTTGCCTAAATTAACATTTCCAATGCAGACAAAATAAAATGTAACCACAAACATCATACATTACTTTTTTCTTTATGTTTTCCACCCTGGCAAGATGGAGTTTCATCACCTACCTGTCAGCATATCGTAAAGTGTTCAGGGTATGCTCTGTAGCTACGTGGCTAGGTGATACATTGGCTATCATACATGTCTTGGAATTGCCAATGAAAGAATCCTTTAGCACCTAGGTTTGGAGGGCAAAAAATAAGATTCTTAGCAATTCATGGACCTTGCATTTCCTGTAAATTAGCAATGTGTACAGAGGCAGTTTAACATGATTCAGGTGATGCACAATTAGTCTCTCTTTTTTTTTTTTTTTAATGTAATCCTCTTGTCTCAATTTGTCTTGCAATACTTGATTTACAATTTAAAATGAACATGAGTGTTAATCAGGGCTCTGAACAAGCCCTTGCACCAGGTGCCACAAGGGTGCCCATATGGTTCGAGGAATACAGCATATGTTACAACTGGAGTGAAGAAACGTTGATGAGAACTCCCAGGACTGCTACTGCGCAGAAGATGGAAGATTGGTTGCAGGCTGGGTGGAGGTGAATGGTAACGTTATCTGAATGAGTCTGGCAGGCAGTGTTTGGGGTTTTTGGTTGGTTTTAGTTTTTGGTTTATTTGTTTTTTACCATGCCAGTCCCCAGGACTGACTGGGGGAGCTGGCAATTGGCCTTAGTTCTGTGATTACCTTTAAAATTAATGTTTGCAAAAGTTACGCATTTCTCTTTTCTTCAAGAGTTTAATAGCAGTTATTGAATTACGCCCTTTAAAAAATTATTTATTTATTTTTTTAATCCTCATGAGGGAAACCTCTACTGTTGCCTTTCTGCTCATTTTACCTGAGTTAATTTGCTTTGCCGGAAAGGAGTATGTGCATGTTCCTGATCCAACGCCCGAATGCATTCCTTTAGCTACCAAAAGGAAAAAAAAAACAAACATAGGGGGGAAAACATATCAATCACACACTGCCAAGGAACTGAATTGCATCAAACCTAACCTACAAATGTACTATTTCCCTCGAGCACCTTTGACTCCTACTGTGTCATGTCCCTCGCAAGGGGAGTTCGCTGCTGCCACAGCCACGAACAGCCAGCTTCAGCTGCTTCAGTTAGCAGCAGCAGTTCAGCTGCACTCACAGAGGGGAAGCTGGAGCACAGAGCACAGCTGCCCCTGCCAGATGGCTCTGTGGGCTATACAAAAACCCAGAAGCCGGGTAAATATACAAGTTTAGCACACACAGAGCTCCACACTACTGTGGACCTGCCTCTGCCTGCACCACAGCTAACTAGTTTGAAGCCAGATTTGGTGTATCCCAGACTATGGGCAGGTGTACCCCAAGAAGAGAGCTTCTTGAGCTCTTTCTTGTACAAATTTCTTTCTTCTGAAAGAAGCTTTTCACCTTCCAAAAATACCCCAACACTTAGGACAAAAGCAGTGCAAATTTCTTATGCCATTCTGGCAATATTTTCATACCTTAGTCAGAGATAGCATGAGCTAATAAGCGCATATTCCTCCCCACACTGACTATAATCTGCAGTCTAGGTGTCCCATGTATGTGTGGGTACACTGGGCTGTGTTAGACGGCAGCTGATCTCAAGCCATTTCCTCTTCACACCAGTGCAACGCGCCAAACCCAGCCAAACAGGAGATCCTGGACCAGCACCAAACAAATAGCTGTAAGGGGAGCGGGGTTCACGTCCAGGTTCAAGCCCACGCTCAGAAGGTAGCATACACACAGCCTGTCTGTCTAAACGAACGAATGAAACAACAGACTACCCAGGCAGTGGAGATACAGCTACAGAGCTCCTGTTAAAACTAACAACATGAGCAACTACACCCGTGCCTTTCACAGAACTCGTTACTTCTTCTTATTGTTAATAACCATCAATGGAGGTAGCCTGTAGTCTTGAAGAAACAGCCCTTGATTTATTACCAGCCTTGGAAAAAGATGCCATGTTCGAACTCAAAGGTGTGCCCTTATCTGCCATGTGTCCACTGGAATAAGCACAATAGCATCACACTCCATATCAAGCCTGGATGCTCTCTAAATTTGGCAGAAATGGACTGTATAGCCATGAGACAAGTCATTCGGAGCAAATATCAAAGGAAAAATAAACAGATTACAGTATCATCATGGCGATACTAGCACGAAGCAGCTTTTCTGCATTTAGAGCCTTACTACATTCTACATACACCCACTTAAAATTACACTTCTTTCTCACTTTTACTACATTTTATTAAAAATCACACCTGTTAGAAGAAAGAGATCAAACTATTCTAATTTTTTATTCTGCTTCTCATAATTGCAATGTGTGAATATCTTCTACTTGAAGTCAACATGAGCACTCAAACCAGCAGCAAACTTCAAAATTCATGTGTTTTAAGGCCTGAAGAGAGCAGTGTGATCCCTGAGGGCACAGCTAGGTTTTACAGGCTGCAGGTCACGCAGACTTACCCAAAGATGCCTTTTACAGTTAATTCAGCCACTACTTGTAGACTTCCTAGGTATTTACTCGGCTTCACACAATACCGAAAATACACACACTCTGATTTTAAAGTTGCTTTTAAAAGAGTTTTGTGAGCTTACAGGAAGCCTCATTTCTGAGGAATCCTTTCCCTTCAGGTCCTGCCCATGCCACTCCGTTATTCACCAGCAAGTGCTCGAGAAACACATTCACTTTACAGACCATCTCCCAGTAAGAGTGCTAACATTCCACAGCAGGAAAGCCTCTGTGCAAAAGAACGTGCTAGGTTCTCAGAACAGAGGAAGCCACCTCCCATTTACCGCACACCAAGAGGCACATAACCTCTGCACTGTTAACTCATACTGCCTGCCTGTCACCCTCAGCCTCACTTAGAGAAGCCCTCAGTCATATGTGAGCTTTGTTCATTTGAATTAAAGGCGATGCAAAGCCTTCCGCACAATTTATACTTAGAGGCACTTCTGCTTTATCTTAGATGCCATTTCTCTGCTCCTTGTCCTTCTTTATGTAACTGTGTACACTTACAAAAGACAGTTTGCAGTAAGAGTGCAGTTCTTCCTGTTCCTTCCTCCCCACACATAAATTCCTAGTTTCTATGCTCTTGAGTATTTAAGTCCTTTACTCCTGATTTGAAAGAGAAGTCTGAGTTCAAGTGGTGAAAAAAAGAAGGAACAGATACGCTTTTATGAAAAAAATCTGGCAATCCCAAACCAATATTCTCTGGAAGTAAAAGGGACAAAACTTTCTACATAAAATATGGGACACTTACTATACTATACCTAACGTCCTCTGTGCTGTGTTTACCTGGCTGGCTGTAAGAATCAATTAAAAAGACACTTATTTTCGTCACAAAATCTTTTCCCTCTTAAATTGTCTTTCAGGCATGAGTCAAATTAAGCTGGACACACTTAGTACTTCGGTTATTTTTTCCCCTCCATGGAATACATACATATATTATTCTGTGATTCATTTTTATCCTAAAACACATGCTAATAATTAAATACAAGACCTTCCCCAGACATGCTAGTAGCTTACTGCTAAAAGACTTTGGTTTATTTCTGCTCCTTCCATTTTCGTTTGTCGATCTGAGTCTCTGGCATCAGCTGCCCTTTCACTGCCAGCCAAGTCAATGAATGATATCCTAGAAAAAACAAAGTTGCATTTATCTTAGGGGCTTTTTTTTTTTCCCCCTCCTTTTTCCTTTTTCTTTTTTAAACCAGAGGGCTGCAACACATGACATAAGAAGAATTATTAGAAACAACTACTTTTGAACAAAGAGAAATACGCACTGGAAATATCTGAGGCACCAAAATAAGCATAGCAGCAGGAAAAGTGTCAGAGCATCCTGGCACTAGCACAGTCATAATAGAAAGTGTAATTGTGTGTGATGAGAATGCTCCACAGTTTAATGGATAAGCTGTTTAAAGTGCAACACATTAATCTCTCCAGATAACCACTGTGCTTGTAGCTTCCTAAGAACACAGTTAAAGAACTTGTAAATTTCTTGATTCTCCCTCCAGGTGACAAAACAGGCAACTCCCTGTGAAATGGGAATTCAGGGCAATATGAACAGAAATTTCCAGTGCAGTAAGTAATACACTGAGCTTTCAATGTTCCTTGTCCCTTCCTTCAACAAAACTCCATACTCCCTCTCATGTTCCCTAGCTCTGGGTGCCAGCTGCTGTGCTGACTGTTGCACTGTATCTTTGTCTTTACTCGTCTTTTTCTGGAACAGCCCTAGCTTCTCTTGCAGGCATATCTTAGGATCTTTTCCCCGCTCCAGCTCCACCTCGCTTTCAATAACAAAAATAATGGCACACGTGCCACACCTGCATAACCACGTACACTTCTATTTCTAAGCCTGCCTGTTCTGCCTTTCCCTTTCTCCACTATTTGTGGCTCTTCCATTCTGCCTTGTATTTAAAATAAGATCCTGGGAAGCAAGACTGCATGGTATTTGCTGGAAAGGTGTGTCATCATGGTTTTTTTGACACTCAGCAAGTAATACACCTTTTTCCTCAGTCCTATTTCTTGGGGTTGTTTAGTCTGGAGAAAAGATGACTGAGAAGAGGCACAATTACAGTCTTCAACTATGGAAAATGGCTGCTACAAGAGGAAGTAAACTGATCTTTTTGTCTGCTGCAGATACCATCAGAGTCACGCTCAAATTACCATGCAGGTTTAGGTGAGGTGCTATGATTCCTCTGAACAAAGGCAAACATCTCTAATGGAGTCATCTCCACAGGAGCTCGTCATCTCAGGCTCCCTTTGTAGTCAATTACAGGACACAGGTTCTTCCAGGGGCAAACCCATCTGACCTAACTTAGGTGACTCAGCAGAATGGCATGAATTGCATCCCAGAAATGACTGTTTCTTTTTACTGGCTTCAAAGGTGATGAGCTTACATGCCCATTGCAGACCTCTACCTTTAGTCAGATTAATGCCAGACATGAAAATCTTTTTAACACTGAATATGAAGGGATGGAATTGGTTGCCAAACACCTTCACTGGAAATTTTTACAAACAAGGTTGACAAAGTTCTCACAGATGTGGCTTAAGCGCTCTCCCTGGGAACAGAGAAAGGACTGTGAGACTTCTCAAAGTCCCTTTGAACCCTGTCTTCTGATTTAACTCACAGCTGACCACTAACTCTTTGTTTGCCTCCTGGGATGTCCCTGAGCTTGACTTCCTCATCAGCCCTGAGCTCTCCCACTTCCAGTCTTACCTTCCAAATGTCCTGTTGGCTGCGTCTTTGATTTGGATTTGGATGATAGCATGAGATCGAGAAGAGTCTGAGTTGACTCCAGTAGCTCCCGTGCTACGTTCTTTTCCCCCCTTCAAAATTACCTGCAAAATAACGGGGACAAAATCCAAGCAAATGGTAAATAAAACCATAGTCTCTCAGAAAGAGGTCTTGTTCTCGTAAGATGAGGAAACATTGGGAGGAATGGTTCATTACAGCTTTAAAATTTGGTGCGAGGCAGATGTTAAGTTAGACTGCATCCCTTCCAATGATTCTTTCAGAACTTTGTATATGAACTTGCAGTGACACTGCGGAGCTTAGAGAGCATACTGCAGGTAAGAAGTTGTTGCATCGCACATTCACTCTGATTTGCAAAATATCCAAACTATAAAATTAAAAACAAAAGTATGGCAGCAATGAAAGAAAATAAGACTGCAGGCATAACCTAAGAGACTCATGAGATGGACTAATTATTGTGCTTTTTTAGAGTTTCACTTTTTCATGTAAGAGATGGGTACTGTTATCCAGAAAGTTACACAAAAAATACGTGACAAAACCTTCTCCATTTCCGTAACTAATAGAAATTATGCCAGAGTGAGGAACAAAGTCAAAAGATCAGTTACACTCAATACAACAATAAAATAAGAAAACAAGGAAGAAAAGCAAGGCAGAAGGACAAAGACTCCTTCAAGATACAAATCTGGATAATTCTCTTTTGAAAACTTTTAAGGACTATCACAGAAAGTCTAGCAGCAACTGCAGCAAGGCATTCATAAAACAGTGATTAATGTTGTATCTGGTTGTAAGAACACATTAAAATGTTATCTAGCAAAATCCATACGTTGTTGGTCATGCCTTTCAGTGCCCAGTTCTCAACCAGAAACCAAACCAACTGCTGCAGCTCCCGAGCATTACATTAGCGCTAAATGCAGGTAATTTCTGAGCAAAAGCCAACATCAGTGAGTGATGAATAACTAGGGACTTATTCAAGACTCTTCCCATATAGCTGTTGCTGACTATTCAGAAGCTCCGAGTCAAGCCAGTGGCATGTCTGTGTTCAAAAGGGCCTGTGGACAATATAAAATTATTTTCTCGCCTAGATACCTGTAAGAATAAAGTCATTTAATAGCTCTTCTGTCTGTGGAATGTGATAATACAGAGGAATGTGTTAATCAACGATATAGCAGATTTACACTGTAATTTGCAGAATCATCACCAGCATGTCCCAAAGCTTGGAGTTAATGGGAAGATGAAGAATAAAATTAAATGGAATATAAGTGGGCAACACCATGCCAATTTTAATGAGTCAATTACACTATCAGGCACTTGTAATTTACAATTTGTTACTGAGAAAGGAATTAAACTATGCAAAAGCAGGCTAAATAGAAAGCAGATTTAACCAGCTTGCTTGCTGCAGGACAATGCAGGAAATTTGCCAGTGCCCTTTCACGGCTTGGCCAGGCAGGGAAGGAAAACTGAAGCTTTGCCTGTGCTGAATGTCAGCTACTGTTTAAAGATCCAACTTTACTTGGCTGTTACCACCCGTCATTATCTAAGCAACATTTAATCCTAAATCAGATCAATGCCTCAATCTAAAGTATTTTCTGATTTCTAGTTCTATTAATTTTCAAATGTATATCTTTTGTCCCACATCCACATACCTTTAATATAGAAAATTTAAGTTCACAGAAGCCAAAGAAACCACACTGGGAAAAAATACTTATCCAGCTTTCTGAGTTCCTTGCTGAGACACTGTTTCATTTCTGGAATAGTGATAGCAGTCTATTTCTTGGCAAAGATCTTTCCATAAGGAGTGGCAGCAGAAGCGACAGCTGTAAATCAACAGCTTGTGTGTCGCTAGCACGAGTCACAGTGACCCAAGAAGCTTAGTGAATAAAGGCGTTTTTAATAGTGCTCCTCAGTGCTCTGCTGGGGTTGACAACTGCAGAACCTTAAACAGGAACATACACATGTACTATATAACAAATAACAATCCCTGTAAATGACATACCTCACAAATCAGCAAATCAAATTGTAGGAGACAAAAAATAATCACATAGAGGTTACCTCCAACAGCAGGTCTACAGAGTCCACCTGAATCTCCCGCAGTCCAACTATTTGAACAATGTGCTTGCTGTCTTCTCTTGCAAAAAGTCTGGAAATGAAACAGTGCAAAAAGGCGGTTTCTGAAATCTCAAATAGCAGCAATGAAAACACATGTCAGTGCTATGACACTGAAAAAGCAATCAAGGCTACCGACTGGGGAGGGACACCACTGTCATTCATTTACTTTCAGAGCTAAAGAGTTGTTTCATTTATAACATATCACCAACATTTCACTGTTAAAGAGACATTAGCAATGCATCTCTGCTAGTTCAGGAATATAATAAAGCAGGGAAGTAAATAATTATGTTTACATTTTAGAGTTCCTGCCTCTCTTTAAACTGCATCTCAGGCTTCTCTAGGAAGTTCAAACTGAAAGTTACGCTCTGTTCAAGTTCTCAAGATTTTTGCACAGAATTTTAAAGCAGCTCCCATAGCCATAGAGGCAGATTTCAGAGCACCTCTGCTATGAATCACACAGAAGCATTACGGTCTGTAGGAAGAATACAGACATGATGCAGGCAGGAGGAGGTTTAATCTCCTCCTTCGATGACATGTAAGATAGCTAATGGACATGCAGAGAATATAAGGGTACACTTTCTTCCTTAGTAGATCAGCTCCTTACATAGCAGATTATACTACCTGCTCCTTAAAGACTGTTTTGGAGAAAGGGAACACACATGCACAGAAATAGATACTTCCTTTGTGAACAGATGCTCACTTCCCCAGGTAGAAAGCCTCCCTCTTGGGCCCTCCAGTGTGCTCTACGGATGGTGCTCTCAGGGCTGCTAAATGCCTCCAGCTGACCGGTAATGTTCCTTCAAGATCACTCCAAAAAGATTTCACTGCTGAGATCTTAACTGACTTTTATTTTACTTAGAGATTTCAGACCACAGTGATTTTTTTATATCAAGTATGTATTGAGTTGTCCTGATTTCCGCTCTGGATGGAGCTCCGGTAGGAGTATACATGCATCTGAACAAGCCTGGGGCTGAGGTGCTGCTGCTGAGGGTGGTGGCAGCATCACCTGCAGAGGCTTGCTCCGGTTGAGTCACTGGGCTGCCAGGTAAAGGCGCTCAGGGGGGAGGTGAGCAGACTCTGCAGTGTCAAGTGTGACAAGTGGGAGACCAACAAGATCTTCAGAGACTAGAGTGGCAAGAGCCAAAGCCCCACTGGCACAGCAGGAGGGAAAGCCAGAGGTCATGTTTGAGCAGGGAAAGACAGGGACCCCACAATGGTTGGCCTAAGAACTTCTGGCCACAGGAAGGTTCTTTCTTTACCTATGGATGTTCAGCTATTATATTATTACAGTGTAAGCATAACAGCATGAGCTCATATCTCAAGCACAGGTCCTTTTCCACTCCAGATGGAGCTCCTGTAGGAGTATACATGCATCTGAATGAGTTACTTCCCCGCCAAAAAAACAGAAAAATCAGGAGCCCCTACCAATGCCACAGTATTTAGTGTCAGATTCTGCCTTCCTCTCTAAGTAGCTCCTAGGAACAACCCTAATTAAATATATAACATTTACTGTAAACAGTAATATGTTAAATGTAATTGCATGAAACAGTAACAGATTTATGAACGGTAACCAACTGATTCATATATAGGTTTATGGTAAAATGTATTTTTATTTAAATACCTCTTCCTTCCATTTAGCAGGTCATAAAGCTGTCCACAGTAGATCTCATAAAAACTGATAAAAACAAGGAGATCTTTCCTTGACTGTGATGCTTCCAGGTGTCTAAAGATGTCCTTGGCAGCCAAGGCGTAGAGTCCTGGGTTCCGGTGAGTGCCTATCATAGTGTAAGTCTTGCCAGCACCAGTCTGCCCATATGCAAAGCAGGTTGCGTTGCCTCTGTGAAGATAACTCATATTTTTAGTGTCATATCTGATTTATTCATAGCTGTTAAAAAAGATTCTGCAATGTTGATATCTATCTATAGTGGCCTCTTAGCAATGAGTTTTGGTTTGCTATCCTATCTGGGAAACTGCAAAACACTTATGGTAATGCCCAAGCATGTCTTGTGGAGATCTGGAGTGTCACAGAGTGCTGGCTCTCTTCCTTTCTTCCAGATACCAAAAATGCATTTAAGGAAGCTAAAAAGTCATTATTATTCTTCCAGCTGTTTAGATGCTGCAGAAGTGTTGCAGGATTATGAATGGGAATCCTACTGATTATGAATCACAGACAGAAATGAGTGTGACATGAGATGCAAAACAGCCACAAGTCAGGTTCTGTATTAACACATGTTGTACTTGATGAAAATTACCACCCCAGCACTGTAATTTACTGAGCAAGGTCACTTTGTCTGAGGCTGCAGTCCTGCACGCAGCCAAGTCAATCTGAAGAGTTGCTGTTGCCTAGGGGAAGGTCTTGCTCTTCCTTTCCTCTGCTCCCAGCTGTGTGACCTATCCCACTGACCCACCCCTGCCTGTGCTGGCTGTGATATTTGACTTTACTGCACTGAAACAGCAGAAAGCTTTCCACTTTTTTTGCAAGCCAATTTTCTGCTGTTTCAGTGAATTAAAGTTCCTCACAGAGGATCACAAAATATGCCCAAACTGGCTTCACATAACCTATGGGAATGTGCCTATTGGGGGGTAAGGAAGAGGATCATCCCCTTTCAGTGGCAGAGAGCTGTTTGGTTCACTCAGTCCAGCTAGTGAAACGACAGTCTTGGCTTACTCCAGGTTGCTCCAGCTTTGTCATTGTATCACCTTAAGACTGTAATGGCAATGCACATAAAATGCCAAGGAGGTCTCAGGATATGGCTCCACTGCCCTTCAAGCCCATCTAAGTTGAGGTTACTGCGTGTGTACTTCTCCTTCCCCATCCTTGCTCTTACACAAGCACTGAACCTAGAAGTACGATGTGAATAGATTCAGGGAACTGAATCAGACAAAAAAGAAATACTACAGAACAAGTTATTTATTCCCCTCCCTACTTCAAAATAATACTTTTCAGCTGGCTCACTACCTTGGCAGAGAAATGGGTAAAAATGTAGAGCTGTAGTAAGCACAGTGAACAGTTTCTTGCCAGCGTGGACTGCAGAATTATCTCACCATGGTGTCAGATTAGACCAATGCCAGTGAAGGGGATGCAGCAGGAGGGACAGAAAAGTCAGGGAAGGCTGAGAGAAAACAGTGGCATCTCTTGTGCTTTTAGTGATTATTACACAGCAAGATCTGCATAAAAGATTCTCCTGTTTCACTGTCCTTTTCTCAAGAGCATGATACCCTCTGTCTCTCCCAATGATACTTGGAGATTTTCAGTAACAGAATGCTCCATTTTGTTAATTTTCAGCATGGATAGGTAATCCTTTACTTCGAAGACTCAAAAATGTAATTATATTCAAGCTTGTTACTGTGCATGAAAATAAGATCACTCAGGTAAAGCCATCATCAATTTCCCATTAATCAGGAAGTACATAATTATGATTAAACCTCTAAGCAAATATACATCAATAAAATAAAAATAAATCACTAGGTTATTAATAATTTCTATTGCCCTCTGAACTGTACAAATACATGCAAAAATATCTCACAGCAGCCTCATGAAAGAGGCAATATTATTCCTCTACAGATGAGTGTGCTATATGACCCAGAAGCCTTTGTTAGAGTGGAGATTAGACTTCAGAAACCCTGGCTGAAGGTCTAGGCTGGCCATAGTGTCCCTTTGTTGCACCTGGGGTCCAATTTTAACTTCCTCTGTGATTTAGATTTCTCACCAAATGTGAAGAAAGTTTTCCCTGATTTATTTAGTGAAAATTGCAAACAAAGACATTCTAAAAGGGAGGAAGTATGTAGCAAAGGTGAAATGAAGGTATTTTTCAAAAGACAAAAAGTGTAAAGGAAAACTAAAGCAGTATATGAAACTGGAAAACAACATGACAAAAAGTAACAAATGTAAGCACTGATGCCCTACCCGTTAAAAATATGCTGAATGAGTGGATGAGCTGTCTTCATATACACATCCTGATTGGTACATGACTCCCCAAAGACTTCATCAAAATAAAAAACATGCTGAAAAATAAATATGATCTTTACATGAAAATGAATATGTTTCACTTCCCCTTCAGCCCCATTCAAAGATAAAGTAAAGTTAAGTAATGGAAGTCTTTCCAGTGACTTCAAATGGCTTTGAATCAGGTACAAAGTGATCTAGCACATTTACCATGCAGCATGACATATACAGGAACACATCATGACGACTAATCAAGAGACTAAGGGTAGGAAAAAAAAAATAAAGGGAAGCAAAGACACCTTAATTTCCCATCATTCCGAAGCAGAACATACCACAGCCGTCTGACAGGAAAAAAAGAAAGAAAAAAAAAGAAAAATGCTAATTAAAGAAAACCTATTCTTGAAATGAATCATCCTGCAGATGTACAGTAAGACTATAACTCTAAAAAGAACTTGGAATCAGCTCTTGACTCTCTCTAAATTAGTCCTCAGTTGTGATTAATTGTCTCTGTTCTGCAGACTTAAAAACTTTTTGTGCCGGAGAAGGCAGAAACTATTCCTAAGCAAAGCTGGATTGTATTATCTCAGAAGGGGTCAAGAAAACCCAAAACTTCCCACACTCCAGATCTGACCCAGGGTCTCTGGAAACAGAGTTCATTATGGGCTCCTTCTAGGCTGAGAAAAGCGTTTGCAGGGACAGCCTCAACCACCACGTTTTCAAAGAGCCCCCATGCTCGGGTGTCTAACATTGCACCCTCATAAATTCACTACAGTGCAAGTTAAGGAGGTAGACCTCTAGGACTGAGAATCATTTCAACGAGGCACAAAGAAGCCACACTAGTGCACAGGCAGATTAAGCCAGGGAGCCTCAGCCGCTGCCCTCAGCTCAGAGGGCAGGTGTGCTCTGCGATGGGCCTGCAGTTTGGGTCCCCGGGCGGTGCAGCTGGAATATGCCCTGCCACCTCCCCTTTGCTCTGTACCCTTTGCTGTCCTTGCTGCAGGAACCAGAGATGGGGGCAGGGAGAGCAGCCAGATTGGGAAGCAGGGAAGTTCTCCTGCGTCCTATAGAACAGACGCAGCCTTTGCCACCCCGTACTTTTGTTTGGACTCTATTGATTGATAGCAAGATTTCATTTGTCTGCACTGACATAACAAATTAGCAGTTATTTCAGCACTGAGACGCTAAGGTGATAAGCACCACATAAATGCCAAATATAGGTAGTCAGACAGAGGGTGCGGGGTGGAGCTGCTCCATGTGTCGCACCGTAAAAGGTGGTACTTGAACCGGGCTGGAGAGCGCTGCAAACTGGATTTTTACTGGATACTCCAAACAGTTGTTCCTAGGACCCAGACTGTAAAAATAACACCCAGTAGAGTGAGAATAGCTGGCTGTTGTCTAGAAATCAGTTCTGTTCCTGGTGCTGTCAGTCAAAAGTAAGAATTTGAACTATGACAGCACAAGGTATTTGGGATTAAGAAACAAAGACCGAAAGGGAACTTAATTTTCAAAAGCATTTGAGAACAAAGGAAGGGAGGGGTGAGGGTGTATGTGATTTACTGAAACAGACCTACAGTTCTGAAATAGTGAAAAGGGAACTCCTCACCGAAGTACCCTGGAAAGCTATCAGGAGACTGCACCAGGCAACTCTCCTGCAGCTACGGCATCTAGCAGAGGGTTTTGTTTTCCCACGGGCAAACCAAGCTGCACGAGACATGCTTTTGAGGCTTAAAATTCTGGGCTCGGGTTTTCTGCCACAGGCTGGCATAAGTCAGAAGCAATTCAAATACAGTTATGCTGAGCTCATAGAAGAGCCCACCACCTACTTCAGTGCAAGAAATGCAGACAGCCCTTTTCCGTTTCCCCTCACAGAAACTCCAAGCACCATTTGCTTTATCCCATCCATGCAACTGACTGGCCCATAAACACAACATTCAAGCGGAGCACGTTACCTGTAAAATATATTGGGTGAGATCAACTGCCTCTTTCTTCTCATGAAGAAGTAGGGTTTCTTTATCTTTCACTGTGATGATGTTAACCTCCCCGCGTCGCTCCTCTCTCAGGCCTAGAGGACGTTTTCGGACACACACTCTGATTTTTTCACTCTCTGTCCATGGAGTCTCTTTCTCAGAAGTACTGGATCTACAACAATAGTGTAGGTCTACATTTTAAAATCAAGTTACTACAGAATCTAGAATATGCATACATTTGTTAGCTTTATGAGATAAATGTTTCTGTCTTTAATGGCTTATCAAAAAAAACCCCAAAACACTTCTCATTGTTGTACAGTGAAGTTTCTGATGTTTTTTCCTAAACAGACTGATGCCTTTTGTGAACTTCTGTTAAAAGAATGGGTTGTGTTTATACAGTTACATTCCTGAACTTGTTGCTGGACTGGCATATTTTCAGTTGTCTACAAACATGTGATTGAAGCTGGCATAATGCAAATTAACAATGAAATTTAATCTTGCTGAAATTATTCACAGTCATGATTAGTCACTTAATAACACACAGATAAAAGTATGAACAGGTCTTGAAGGAGAGGGTATAATATTTAGTTGCTGTTCCTCTTATACTGACTTTCATTCTTCTATTATAGTCGGTCAAACAGGTTACAAGTAAATGACTTAAACTGTCTTGGGAAATAAGACAGTATCACCATGTTCCTATTCAGCTTGAAGAAAATTTGAAATATTGATCTCATCATTTTCTCCCCTTTGGTCTTTTTTTCATAAAAATTGATGTGATTTCAGACCACAGGCAAAGTTATGCTCTTGTGTTTTGTCAAGTCTACTTTAGTTCCCTTTCAGACACCTCAGAAACATGAGGTCATTTTATGTTTCATTGATTAACCTGCTGTGTAAAGCATTTTGTAATGCAGCGTACAGAATATGTTTGAATTCAACCAAAACCTATTCATTCCACCTTTTGCTTTTTCAAGCTGTCTTCAGCCAAATGAGAAATAATTTTCAGCCTGGATTTGAATGTCAATTTGTGAGAAAAAAAAAATAGTTTTAATCAAGCCCTAACTTGACCAAAAGTGGTGGTTTTGCCATGCTGTCTAAATGCCCTTCCAAAATCTCTTAATGTAGCAACTGAAAACTGACATAAACCCGTTGTCTGATACATTAAAACCAAACCACAAGTTACTCAATATCTCATTACAGCTACAAGCTTGCAGTATCATTGCTGTTGTGCTGCATGATTCCACAGAAGCGAACGACAGGCAGATAGACATCTCAAGATGCAGTCCTAGAAGACCACACACAAGTAATCTTTACTTGTAACTGCAGTCCCTTTAATTTTAGTACAGCTTTCCAGTGTAGACCAGGATCAGGCCCTGCATTTAAATGGAAAATTCTTTCCCCTGAAGAGAAAGACAATGATACTTGAAATAAGATGGTTCATAAGCTAGTGTGAGCTTGTGGATATCACCAGGCACTAAACATTGTCCAACAAATGATCAGAAGCTCTGAAGTTTAATTCTCATGTCAGAGGCTGGATTTGTCGACCTACAGAAAGAGCCTGTTGTGTTGTAAGAGCTTGAAGGAGGAAGGACTGATTGCAAGATTTGGAGACAGGTAAAACTGAAGATTTGGAGGTTCTGTTTATGACAGAAAAGGCAATAAATTCTTTCTAGTACAGAGGCACATTTAGGTGAACTTATTTTGTATGGGAACAGAATGCATTTTAATTCTACATGCTGAACCTGAAACTCAGATTTTCTATTAACGTTTCATAAAAAAAAAATTGTATTTTTTAAGAAAATATGTTTTTTTATTACTAGAAAACAAAAATTTTGACACAGATCATTAGAAACCTAATTAGACAATAGGTCAGAAGAATCACTATGCCCTATAGAATAGAATCATAGAACAGTTTTGGTTGGAAGAGACCTTCAAGACCATCAGGTCCAACCTTTGTCCTGGCTCTACCAACACCACTAAATCATGTCCCTAAGTACAACATCTACCCATCTCTTAAACACCTCCAGGGATGGTGACTCCACTACCTCCCTGGGCAGGCTGTTCCAATGCCTGACAACCCTTTCAGTAAAGAAATTCTTCCTAATATCCAGCGTAAACCTCCCCTCGTGCAGCTTAAGGCCGTTCCCCCTTGTCCTATCGCTTGTTACTAGGGAGA